AATTATCAAATATCTAATAAGGAACTACCTTTGTCCTAAATTTGCTACTACTTACTGCTTAGTTAATCTTGCTTCTCTATTAGTTAATAGTATTAAGTTAAGTGTTAATGTAGTACTACCTATTACTTCCTGCATAGCTACTTGTTAACAACGGACCATTATTCTAAAGTGTTACCCTTTAAAAGAATACCAAAAACTAACATGCTTTTTTATGGTAATTTTTATGGCAATACCCCATTGTTTAACCTTGAGCCAACAACTTATATAAATGTACATCTGTATTTGTGTGTTTTCTGTTTAACTCAAACGCACCTATATCTCCATCTCCATCCTCTGCATCGAGCAGGTCTGTTTTATTCTTCTTGATGGTAGGCCTCCTCCGCGAGCCTGAGTGTAACAGACCATAGTCACTCATTTCTAACATACTCACAGACAGCCTAAAATATTAAAACATAACCGATAAATAGATTAACAGAAAGGAGACTAAATGAGACAACTAGGAAGTGTAGTGTGTCTATCACATGTCTGCTACAGATGGACGGCCTATGGAGACGTGCTCATGAACACTACATTAACTGTGCATATGGACATGAAGTATACAATATCACCCCCTCAGCAAGCCAACATGCTATTGATATCTCTCTTCCTTACAATGGAAAATCAACACCTAGTCCCAGTGAGGGAGCAAAGAGAGGCGGAGAGGGGGATGAAAAGGAAGGAAGGATGGAGGAGGTCACATAAATACCGTCAAAGGGTATCCGGTCATCTGGGTCATTGTCCTCGTCAGCCAAAATCACCTCTTCTGTACACAATCAAAAAAGATTCAAATCAAACCACTGGAAAAGTCAGGAAAATGGGGACAAGTTGTGATGCTTAATGAAACATTTTGTATGTTATCAGCACATTCTAATACTGAGACGCACAAGTGTAAAGACATCCATATCAAAAGAGACAAGCTACTTTCTGAATTATTGGCTTTAGCTTCTCTCTGGAGTATTTAATGGCTCTTTCTATGGCATTTACCTGCTTTGCAGATCCACTCCAGATATCCGTTCAGCTCTCTCTCTATCTGCTGCTGACGCTTCAGCTTAAGAAACTCACTCCTGTTCTCCACACGCTCCCTTTCTTTGGCAAACTCTCTGTATCACATACACATGCATGCAAACAATTGCTCATCAACGGATGAACACAAAATGCACATACACACTAGTTAAATGCAGATACACTTTCCAATCTTTGGCCATTTTGAGATCATCAGAATTACGGGATAGCTGCCTTCTTGATTGATGCTACGGAGGTCCGCATATGACATGGAGAAATTACAAGATATCTTAGCCACAAATTAACAATTCATTCCCACTACTTAATTAATTCCCTTGTTTTAGTTCAACTGTGGCCATGTTGTACTGACTAAATTAAAACAAGGGAACAAATGAACAGTGGCGGCTCGTCGGGGGAGGCAGGGGAGGCACAGCTTCCCCATAATTTTGAGGTGAAAATGGGAGGAGGGCGATTTAATGTTAATAAAATTCACAATTCATTTCAGTTCATGTCTCAGAATGTGTATTCTTTTGTTTATAATTTCACAGTTGTAATACCATAACGTGAAAGCGCCGCTTTTCTATCGCGAATGTGCCGAATCTGCTGATGTAATTACAACCGCTAATGATATAGAAGGGGAGGGGGAAGCCGGGGGAGCGCTGAGCTCTCGTGCCTCCGTTGGTAAAAAAAAATTAGCCAATCAGCATCGAGTGTTCACTTTCAGCGCTGAAGAGTGTTGAGAAAAGAACCCTCGCAAGGGAGGCTAGCCACCCTTCTGGTATATCAACCAATCATCACAGAGACGTAAATTACGTGATATTAGTTTGAATATCAAACTAATGATAATAGTTTTAGTTTAGCTGCGCTGATAATGTACCAAGTACTTATGATGAGTAGCGATATTGAATATTTGAACGCCAACAGATTTACCAAGCTGTCATTCAAACAGTATATATACAAATTTCTAAGCTGGATATAGGGCTGGATATAGGCTAACGTTACAGCAGTCGGCTTAATTAAATGGCGCAACAGGCAGCT